TTTTTTTTTTTTAATAACTGGAGGGGAAAAAAGCCCTCAGACACCAAATCTAAGTTACAGCATCTTTTGGAAGCAATTGCACCATAGACATTAAGATGCACACAGACTCATAAATGGAGTGGAGTTGCTATCAAATACATTTAATTCTTTTAAATTGGGCTGACTGCTCAACAAACAAGGAATAATCATAAATTGTAAAGCATAAATTAGTGAGAAACTAGGTTTGTAGCCAACCCCTCCTGCTGTCAAAATGCTGTAAGCAGTACAGGTTCCTGTCTCTATAGCAATATGTGTAAGGCCATTTCTAAAACAGGAAAAAAAACCACACCCTAATCTTTAAACATTAAGTTAAGCAGTCAGGGCATGTTTAATAAGTAGTACTGCAGTTCGCCATCCACCCACTCAGCATTTTTTCCTGTATAAATGAGGAAATTGCTGCAGTAACATTTTAGGATGCATCATTTCAGTGAAAAGTATTTTTATACATAAATATACATATGCGTTCTATATATGTGTGTGTTCATATATATAGGTTGTGTATATATGTACACAGGCTATATACACACACACTTTTTAATATATATATAAACGACAAATATATGTATTGCCCTGCCCCTGACACAGCTACTTCCCCTTCCTTCCCAGACACCTCAGTTAGGGAAGACTTCAGCTCTCACATGATTTTGAGATTACCAAAATCTACATTCTTCATCAAGTCAAAGATGCAGCAGCTGGCTGATGGAGAATTAACAATGAGTAATGAGTTTCTCCATTTCATACGTTCTTCAAAAACTCACAACCCTGGCCCTTGTATCATTCATTAACGAGAAAAATCTTGCGTCTAAGTATGAAATTTCTGAAATTATTCAGCACAGTAAAGAGTTAAAAAACCCCACATCATTTCTTATCAGGTCACTATCAAATACTTTGAAAGCAATTAAAATTTAACCTATGTTATGTTTTTTTGAACTCAGCTTCCCACAAACTCACAGGAAAAGGGAGACACGCAAGCAGGGAACAAACCCAATCCCTGTATTATTCACACGTTTAATATCTAGAAAGGTTAATTTATTAAAATATTAAATTCAGTTCTGGGTATATTTTGTAACTACACAGAGTCTCAGAAATACCTCAAAACTATTCCTAACTATGTTTGTGGACATGAAAGTAGTTTTCATTTTGTCACTTTAGATGCCTTGCATTTTACTGTGTGTATTATTGAAGGAGGCTTTGCTCTAAAAGTGAATTAAGATTTCTAGCAAAAAAAACCCACACTTCCAAGAGTCAAGATGCACTGTTAAATTAATGACAAGCTACAGGTTATAACAGGCAAAAAAAATAAAAATTGAGCTTTGTTTGGGCAAACTACCCTTAGGTAAAAGGCATTAGGTAAAATAAGGTCTTAAAACACTCAGTAGGAGACAAAACCAGAAAGAGTTAATGAAGGTTTCCAACTTGCAATCTAAGTCCATGTACTCTGCTGACAACATACCACTAGGAAGAAATGCTTTTGAATTAACACCAATTTATTCAGAGAACTGTGCTCATCTTCCCCAGGTGATTGTATTTAATAAATCACCATAGAAATATGAACACACAGCCACAGCAGCCAGTCTGACCCTGCTGAAAATAACTAGTCTGAAGCAACAGTTATTTTTATTAGGGCAAACTGAACTACAAAGAATTTATTTCTAAACAACTACTCCACGGCTGTTATGGTCTGTTGGCTGCACAATTTAAGTATGCCTAAACACATTTACACATCTGACTCATATAATGCAAATATATTAAACAATTTACTAATTAAAAGCCTAGGATTGAGCACCAGCCACTAACAACTTCAGTATTTCTTGCACCACAGACACCAAACTGCAAATTACATTAGTCATGTGTTGATTGAAGTATTTTGAAAATACTCTTAAAATAAAAGTTTGTAGGCTTTTTCTTTCATTCTTCCATTATTTACATAGATTCTGTTAGTCATTTCGCACTCCCTAAGCCTTACTGCTTTTATTCAGAGTGAATTTTTGTGGTCCTGCACACCTACTCAAAGCAGTCCCTACTGAAAAGAGCAGGCATGAGGAGGCAAGAATAAAGCCCATTGATTACTGCTCCTACTGTGTGTTTCTGTAATGATTCAACTTCTTTAAAAGACAACAAGATGAACTTTTCCTGAGCATAGGAATTCCCACTGCATTGTCATCTCTGATGGATCCAGTCTGCTAACTCAGAAGCCACAAGATCTCCAATGTGTGCAGTTTGACATCTTTATCTGAAGGCCAGAGTCCCTTGGGGAAGGCTGACAGAACAAGACTGAAAAGTTTTCAAGATAGATCCTGATGGTTTAATTCCAGGTTGTCGGAAACTGCTGTGTGCAATCTGGGAGCCAACAAACAGCAGGAATGTGTCTTCCAGGAGAAGATTTGAAGCTGCTGCACCATGCTGTCCATGGTCATGGCACTGCTGCTGGCTGGATTCCTTTGAGTTACAAAAAATTTGACACATATCCAATCAATTATTTGCCATCAGGTTAGATATAAATTTTTAAGTTCAAATTGCTATTTCATTAAGTTCAGCTTGCCTTCACACACAACGGCATATGAAA